GATGTTGGGTGTGTGGTCCTGTGTTTTGTTGGCGTATATAATATACTTCTAATCGCTATTTCAATCTTTCTAATTACTTCTCTCTCTCTGTTTTTCCTCTCTGTCTCTATTTTGTCTTCACTTAAAAAAAGTCACTGATGATGAAGAAATAAACAAATAAACTAATATTTGGTTTCATTTTCTACTGAAGTGACCAAAAACTGCCAGCATTGATCCTAAACTACATCTCCCATAATGCATGTTGATTTTTTATTTTTTTACTTATGAAATGACACCATCCCACCACTAGGTGGTGGTGCACAGGGTCTGTAAGTAGCTGGCAAAACTCGTATAAAATCTCCATTTTTGCTGGCTACCTTTGCATTTTTCTCAGTTATACTGGGAAGAGGGAATTTTCCACTTACAARTTGTAAATTTAATCTGTAATGGGAATTCCCTGTCGGAAAGTAGGAGAGTTCAGAAGTGAAGACGGCAGCTACTCACCACAACCCAAGAGTGAGTAAAACTCTCTTATTTTGACTTTTAAAAGTATTTCTGTATTATTTATTTCACATTTAGTCAGTCGTACATGTAGTACTTTTTAGTGTTTATAAGAGGATWTGTTAAAATGCTGTTTCTATGCAGGAAATACCAGGTAGAGCTCAGTTATTGTTTGTTAGCAGTGCTCAGTCGTAGCAATGAGACGAGAAACGTGACGTTTCGTGTTTMGTTGAGGTTAAATACAACTACTGCTGATACTGCCCTCAGTAAAAAAAAGTTTGACACCTATTGTTTAAATTTAATCCGTCTAGTGGTTTGTAAGATATTTTGCTAACGCTACGGTTGGCGGCAACGGTTCATTTTACACCTAAAAGTTTGAATGTTTTTATTTCAACCTGTATTCTGAGAGTGGCTGCTACAATACACTGCAAAAACTATCCATCTTACCAAGTTTTAAAACCTTATTTCAGCCAAAAAGTATTTTTGATCTTGTTTTGAGACTGATTTACTAAACAAGAACTGATTGTGTAAGAATAATAATCTTGTTTTCAGAATGTGTAAGATTATTTGTCTTGTTAGTCTNTGTTTTCAGAATGTGTAAGATTATTTGTCTTGTTAGTCTGAAAATTTGACTCAAATTAAGTCAAAAATTTCTGCCAATGGAGTAAGAAAATTTTACTTGGTAAGATTCTTGAAATAAGAAAAAACTGAGTCAAATCAAGTATTTCAAGAATCTTACCAAGTAAAATTTTCTTCATTGGCAGAAATTTTTGACTTAATTTGAGTCAAATTTTCAGGCTAACAAGACAAAATGAGAAAAAAAATTTTTTTTGGCTGGATATAACATTTTAAAACGTGGTCAGGTGGACATTTTTTGCAGTGTACAGTAGATCCTGCATTGCCTTAACAGTGCCTGTGTGTCATTGTGTTGTTTGAAACCAACAGGGCTGCACGATGAGTCACTCTCGTGATCTAAGATGTGGTCACAAATAAGCGTAGTGGCCGGTCACGTGCAGTGAAAATCATTTAGGGAAGTGAGAGTTTGTCGAACTCTGGAGCTCAGAGGAAAACACTGACTTGTTTTAGCAACCGAATATAAAAAAAGGCACAGTCTCTGGACCGTCTGAGTAACACGCAGGAAAGTTTTCCACCAAAGCAAAACGTGGTTTTCTCCTGAGTCATACCAGCAGGACGGGCATGGCTGAACCCACTCTGTGCTGCAGTGCGCCCCAGTCCTCTGGGCTTCCATACAGACCCTTTTCCAGGACGTAAGTCTCTCCGCAGAAGTCTGGCTCCTCAAACACAACCCAGCTGAAACAGAAACACAAATAAGGAGGCGTAAGGTTGCAAGAAGTGGAATTTCGTTATTTTCGTTCCGTTTTAATTAGCGGCCTTTGATGGGCCCACAGTTCGAAAGAAAGACAACCCACGAGAATTCAAACGAAGCTATTCACGTTTCTTATTCCCTTCTTGGTCCAGGTCCAAGCTAATYGTCTCCGACACAACAGCCTGTCAGCATTTGTTACCCTGGCAAACGTGTTGTGTTTTAGCTGCTGAAAATGTGCGAGGCTGCAAAACAAGCTCCTTCTATAAAGTCAAAACTCAAACCACACAGAGGCGAAGTGAGGCTCAGAGGACTGGCAGCACAACCTGTGGGTGAGCTGCTGCAGTCTAACAGCAGGCTGGCAGCACGGCAAGAATGTCACTGCTGAGAGTCCTGCCTCGTGAAGGAGGAGGACATCATGTTCCCATTTTTAGTGTCCTCCATTGGAAAAAATCAGGGTTTAAATTTCCATTTTTCTTGTTTGTTTCTGGTGTTTCCTTCTGCATTTTTTTCTGTTGACTGTCCTTTAAACAAAACCAGTCCTCTCTGTGGGGGTCTTTGACTTTTCTTTGACTAGATCATGGATAAATCCGTTTCTCATTAACAACAGTTGGATGTGCACCTCCTCCACACAATTAAACAGAATTTCACAAATTTCTCCCCCATTGCTGCAGGGTGTGAGGCAACGTGATCCAACACACCTGAACAGGGAAGTGATGTGTAAGCCTAAATAAAACATTAGTGAATTTGCTCATCTGTCATGACCTGTCAGCCTGGGTGGGGCCGAGTTGCCGTTATGACTGAGTGGCAAAGAATGACGGTAAACCAACAGGACTTYGCAAGAATTTTAGTCCCAACTAATGAAAAACTTGTAGGGAGGAGAAAAAAGGAAAAAGTTAGGAACATGTTTTGATCAAAGCTTGTGGAAAGACATACAACTTAAATGGATAGTTCAGATCCCCTGAAGTGTGGTTCTGTTAAAATTTCATGAACAATGAATATCTTACCTGTCATAGATAGCTTCTGAAATGGTCTTAAATTTGAAAAATAGAGTTTAAGTGTAGCTAGATTGACAAGCTAACTGCTTGACTGAGCAATGCCAAAACTAAAAAGAATTAATGACATCCTAAAAACATCTCCAGTATCAAAAAATTATTGGTTCACATGAATGCTATTTCACAAACCTTTAGATTCCTGTAATTACTATATTATATGGGTATTCTGGAAGACATAATATGATCTACTTGCTAGAAGTGCCCTAGGCTGCCGACAAAATACTAACTTGTAATTTGTCTGTATTTAGAGTACAGACCAAATGTTTGGACACACCTTCTCATTCAAAGAGTTTTCTTTTTTTTCATGACTATGAAAGTTGTAGATTCACACTGAACGCATCAAAACTATGAATTAACCCAAGTGGAATTATATACTTAACAAAAAATGTGAAACAACAGAAAATATGCTTTGATTAAAAGAAAACTCTTTGAATAAGAAGGTGTGTCTTTTGGTCTGAACTATATATATACACAGTATATAGTACAGACCAAATGTTTGGACACACCTTCTCATTCAAAGAGTTTTCTTTATTTTCATGACTATGAAAATTGTAGATTCACAATGAACGCATCAAAACTATGAATTAACACATGTGGAATTATATACTGAACAAAAAAGTGTGAAACAACTGAAAATATGTCTTATATTCTAGGTTCTTCCACCTTTTGCTTTAATTGCTGCTTCTCTCTCTCTCTCTCTCTCTCTCTCTCTCTCTCTCTCTCTCTCTCTCTCTCTCTCTCTCT